ATTTAATCCTGGTCAGCTAGAACAGCAGCAGCAGGGATTCAAGGCAGCATCTCACTTACAGCAACTCCTTTAGCCTCTCCTAGTTTGCACTGGGTACCAGCAGAAGAAACGCGATGAACTGGCACAATGGAACTGCTGGAAGAGTGAATGTTCACAGGCATTCACACTATTATAAAGATAAAAGAGAGGGAGGAGCCAGGCTAAGTGGCTCCTGCAGGAAGTACATGCCAGCTAGTACTGCAAACTCTAGGGGCACCTTGGTTTTTTGGAAGAGAGGAGGAGAGCACTCCCAGCCAGAGGACAATGTATGGAAGCAATTTAGTTCAGCAGCTGAATGCTACATTGAGACTCAGAAAATTTGAATTCTATTACTGACCTACTGTGTGGTTTTGTAAAAGTGCTCTTTCTACAGCACTGTGTCTTACCTGGCTGTGCCCCTCTCTCCTGTCTATTGATACTATAAGCCACTTAAGGAAGAGGCTTTCTCCACTCCGTGATTGTCTCAGGAGGTAGTTGGGGGATTCACCAATGACTAAAACAAACAAACAAAAAAACCCAAACCCAAGTACTGGCACACATCAATCAGTTATCAGCTCAAACTCACAAAATCATTCCAGGATTTCTCACAGTGCTTAGGGAGCTGAAGGGAGGCCTGAGCTTCAAGACAAACAAATCCCTGGTCTAGCTTGTTCAGACCTCTTCAATATACAGGCACAGAATTAAGTGAAATTCTTGTTCCCATCTTCCTTCCATCTACTAGTTTCACTTCAAAAGTACGCTGAAGTACAACCCTGAGAAGTGGCTGATTCTGTTGGGTCAGGTCATTTATAAATATACCCATTAAGGCACTGTTAAAACAAAGCAGCGCCTTCACAGGAACTCAGCACAGAGCACACTGTTACAGCTCATCCCAGAGGGGACATAGAACATGCCCACGCTCAAATAAGTAACAGAACTTTACTCCCCACTTGACTTTGAGCGCTGTTCAAGATGGAAAAATCCCCAGCAGCCTGAACAGCTTCATCTTCTTAATAAAGCTTTTCCTATATCTGCTGCTGAGTAAATCAATATTAAACATCAACATAGCTTGTCTTCTACAGAGTCAAAAATTGCTCATATTTCAATTAAAAACACTTAGAAGACTGTATGTGGTGATGCCTGCCCTAACAGAGCTCAAGGGCTTAAAGCTTGCTGCAAGAGTTCTTGGATCACTTTTAATGCACTTCAGAGCATGGTATAAATCATTCTGGCAATATAAATAATGACAAGATACTAAGATATATTCTAAATAGAAGTATAGAAAGATAACTCTGTTCTCTCTACAGGACCACATCACAAAGAGTCATGAAAGATCCATTCACCTTAGACTTCTCTAAGATACTTGGATCTGTTCACAGGTTTTTTTCTTGGTGCTATCTTTAGTAGTTTGAATGTGACTTCTTTCATATTCTTAGAGAATAAGTATATCCTAGAGATTCTGGTAAAGGATTGTATGCAGGGGAAGTTGTAAAAAAAATCTGTTTGATCAGCTGAGGTTTCCAAGCTGGTTTTCATGAATATTTTCTAGACTTTAATAAGATGCACATTACATATATGACCTTTCACAGCTGGCAGCTAATGAGTGCTAATAGAGTACTAAGTTTGCCTATAGGCAGCTGAAAGTATCTTAGCACTGGCAAAATCAGTTCTTAAAGATACAATCGAGTATCATCAGTGTTCTTAAGCACTAAGTTGGAGGAATATAAATCCCAAATCCAACTATGTGTAATAGATTGCTTGTACTCTGGAAACCTTGATATCCTAATCTTACAGTTTAACGAAATGAAAAACAGATGGGACACGAGTCTGAGTCCTCACAGGAAGAGCTCAGGACAAGGGAAGATATTTGCTGCTTCTATACAAGCCAGTAAGAATAGATACCACATTGCTTCCTGTAGGCAGCATTATGGATTTGATTGATGATTATTGTTCCTCAAACAGGTATATGAGGACCAAATGCCTTGGTGTTAAAAACCTTACAAAAGCAACCCACGCTTATTATGCAAATTTCACTGACTTATTACCTATCGCTAGAACGAACCTTCACATTCGTAAATCAAATGGTATCAAATTAGAAATAGAATAAAATTATTGATCATGTCGCTCTTCACAGCAAAAGAACACTTCTAAATACCTTGAGTAACGTTTTACTCAATTACTGACCTTCTTGGAAGAAGGCTGATTTCAACTGCTCTTGTTGCTCTTTTCTCCGAACTCCTAGTGTAGTTGCATCTCTGCCATAAGCTTTCTTCACATCTGCAGCCAGGCTCTTGTTCTGTTGCATGACACCCTGAACAGAGCACAACAAACCAATGCTTGTGCAGTGTTTGCAAGGGCTTCTGGCCTAAATGTGGATGCCTCCCTCCCATGGATCCCTGAGTGCTGCACTACAGCAGTATAGTTATGGTAAACATTTGCAGCTGCTATATAGCAACCAGTGATTACTGCAAAGTGCAAGTAACTGGCTTAGCAGTTGGCACGCACTGGCCATTGTGGTTTTACCCTCAACTTGCATGTTTGTTGTATCCATCTGCCACTTCAGGTGTCGGGGGGGAGGGGATTTCTGTTTTTTCATCTTGGCCATCAGTGTATGGATGGCACAGAAGATTTGCAAGAGAATAAGAGAAGAGAGGTAAAATGAAAATCAGTGCTGCTAGGAGCCCTGACTACCACTTCTGTTACTGATAATTTTCATTGCTTTCTTTACCTCTTTAGACAACACCTTGCATGCTGATCAGATCTGAATAAGCAGCGTCCCTCTTCCTCCAACAAGACAGGAACTGCTTATTAAACTTCTGCTATTCAACAGTGTAGGCACCATGAAATAAATTCCATTCAGATAAATAAACGGACACATCATTAAAGGTCTTATGCGGTGAAACAAAACAAGTTGCCAAGGCAGTTTCTGTTAACTTGCAAGCAGGAGGACAAAATTCATGTGTACCATAGTAATTTAAATCCACACAGTTTGTCAAAAATGTGAACACAGATAAAAGTTAAATGCTACGTGACACTGCCTTCTGTGAGGTGCGTTAATTTAATGAGTACTGCTAAATCAATTGTAAGATAATCTGATTATGAAACTTGGTCTTTTCAAAGGGAGATAAATAGCCCTTTTAAACATTATCAGGCCTTTCACACACTGATTTGACACAAAAAGCTTAAAACAAGCCTCTAACTTTCTAAAGCTGTCAAGTTGTGTGTGCTTTCTAGCTTTAGGGATAAAAAAGCTGCAACATCCTGCAGCCCAAAACTAAAATGTTACAGACTGTCTTTGCGTCTAGAGAATGTTAATGAAATTTTATTTGTGTTAGACACAATGCAAGACTGATCTTGGCATATCACACATTCTGCTTTGCTGATCTACCTTTTTTTCTTCAGAGATTCCAAAAAATATTGCAGGTTTACTTCAGTGCATGTTCCAAACCTCTTTTTCCCCCACAAACCTCAAGGGCCTTTCATCGAAATTGTGAAAATAAGCAGATCAGAGCCAGGATGAAAAACTGAACAGTACTTTTAGACAAAACACACTGAAGATCATTTAAAAAGACTGAATCAGAAAAATTAAGCCTCCACTCCCAGGCCCCATTGCTATGTCAGGATCAAATCATTAGCTATAATTAAATTAGCCTGATACTTTGATATTTCAGTGTT